CTCAACCCACGTTCACCCCAAAGTCCTTCAGCTGTGGCAGGCTGGGAGGATGGCACCAATGGAGGGCTAGCAAGGTCTGACAGTTCTTGCCTGGCTCTTATCTTACAGGCATTATTCCAAGTCACACAAAATGAATTTTAAGTTACACAAAATAGTTTCACTTTGTTTCTTTCTTCCTTTTTTTGTTTTGTTTTTGTTTGGCTTTTCTGAGACAGGGTTTCTCTGTGCAGCCCTGGCTGTCCTAGAACTCAGAGATCCTCCCGCCTCTGCCTCCTGAGTGCTGAGATAAAAACTGTGTGACATCACCACTGCTGGGCTCACTTTTGTTCCTAACACTCTGTCTCAAAACAAAACAAAACAACAACAACAACAACAACAAAGCTGCCTAGCAGTCCCCTTTGCTGGGCATCACAGGTACCATGGGAAGAACAGGTGACAAGAAGCAGCTGAGGTACTGTCACTCAGGGTCATCAAGAAACCCTGAAAAGGCCAAGGCTATAAAAAGAGAGGTTTGATGGGCTTTTCACCATCTCCAAGACTGCCAAATCTGGTTGAAGGTCAGCTTCCTCAACCTGACTTGACTAAAGCCATGTGGAAGATTGCACAGCCTCCCACTTGTGGTCTTAGCTGAGTGAGATGGTGGAAAGTCAGGTGGACCCTCTGTTGTCCCAGAATGCACTACATGGAGCCCAAAGCTGGAGAAACCTGTTACACTAGTCACTGTGGTCCAAAGCATTTACCTCCTTAAAAAAAGAATCATTGTGTGTGCATGCATGGACGCTCGCGTGAGTGAGAGTGTGTGTGTGTGTGTGTGTGTGTGTGTGTGTGTGTGTGTGTGTGTGTGTGTGTGTGTGTGTGGGCGCCGCCCCCCTCCCCCAGTACTCATGAACATGGAGGGCAGAGGATGACCCACAGGTATTGGTTCTCTCCCTCCTTTATGTGAGATGCTGGACTAGATCTAAGGTGTCAGCTTTTGAAGCATCTGTGTGATGTGCTCTCAGGTGTTGTCATGAAAAAGAGTCAAACCTTTTCTGCTGGCTGAGGCTAGCTGAGCCCCTCTGCTGAACCACACCTCAGATATGTATATAATACCTTCATAGGGACTCAAAGCTACAGAGGATCAGTTCTATAGCTGAGCACAGTGACCATGGCTGGCCTTGTTTGGTGCAAGCTGGCTTTGAGAAGTGCTTGGGACTTCTCCCCACCCAGCCACTGAGCTGGTTGTCACAATCTACTTTTCATCACACATCACATGATCAGACAATGACTCTGTTGTGTTGTCTAACAAAAGAGGACAGCTGCTCCAAAGGACTCTTTTGATTTGTAGTCTGCTCATGAGGTGCCCATGTGCTTGTCCCTTTTCCAGTTTATCTCAAAAGCCAAACAACTGGCCAGACATGGTGGTGTCACCTTTAATCCAGCACTCAGGCGGCAGAGGCAGGCAGATCTCTGTGAGTTCAAGGCCAGCCTGGTCAATATAGTAAGCCCTCCCTTAAAAGCCACACACAGTCATGAGGAAAGAAATGAAGGCAGAGGCTGATGAGCAAGCCTGATGAGTTCCCCAAAAGATATCAAATGAGTTTCTTCCTACACCCTACATTTCTGCCTGGTGATGGAGGGCATGGGGCCCTCACTGTCATTTTCTCCTTCATGTTCTGAACCCTAAGAAAAGAAATTCATATTGAGTTAGCCAGGTGGTAGCCACTTCCTTGGAACAATAGATGAGTGGACCAAATAGAGGACAGCAATCTTGTCCTTAGCATGTTGGAATACTGGGCTGCAGTGCAGTTTCCCTATAATGACCCTGTGACCTTTTAAACCAAAGTTTTTATTCCCCTACAGAAGCCAGTGGGGACTCTGGTAAAAAGTGAGATCAGCCAGGCAGTGGTGGTACACATCTGTGATTCCAGAGGGGGTTCCAGGATAGCCAGGGCTACACAGAGGAACCTTATCTCGAAAAAACAAAAAAAGGGAAGGGGGAAAAAAAAAAAAAAGGAAATCATAAGGGTCTGAGAGACAGCTCAGTGGTTAGAGCACTGGCTGCTTTTGCAGAGGACCCAGCACCAACATGGCAGCTCACAGCTGTCTGTACCTCCAGGGGATCTGATGCCTACTTCTGGCCTCCATGTAATGAATAGACATGGTGCACAGACATACATGGGCAAAACCACATACATATTAAGTAAAAATAAATATTTACCCACCCCCCATTGTTGTTTGTTTTTTTTTTTTTTTTTTTTTTTTTTTTTTTTTTTTTTTGTGAAGCCACAGCCAGGCAGTGGTGGCGCATACACTTGGGGAGGCAGAGGCAAGTGGATCTCTGAGTTCAAGACCAGCCTGGTCTATAGAGCAAATTCCAGGACAGCCAGGGCTACACAGAGAAACCCTGTCTGGAAAGAAAAGAAAAAAAAAAAAAAAATCAAAAGCAAAGCACAGCAGGGCCCACACCTGGGCCCATTTGGATTTACTTGGGAAGATTCCCCGGGGTTTCTCAAAGGAATTATGAAGTGGAGATTTCATTTTTCTGACAACATACAGTTAAGTCTCATTCAGACATGTTCATGACTTACATCTTCAGGCAATGTGGGCTTTTTGAGTTTTTTAGATTTTTATATTCGGAAACTCTGACTCATTCACACACACACACACACACACACACACACACACACACACACTCTCTGTGTGTCTTTGAACTACAGCACACCTGCATGTTTAAACATTCACACATATATATTCTGCCAAAAGATATCTCATCTCTATTTTAGGACGATTTCTCTGAAATAAACAGGCAACCATTTTATGTGATTGCAGTTATGTTCTGTCTGGAGTGGGATCCCCTCCCCCACCTCCCTTCCCTTCCCCTCTGCTCTGCTCTGAGACTTTCTGAGGAAGGTCTATGAATGAAGCAGAAGTTATTTTAGAAGTTTTAGTTTACATGGGAATCCTCTTTTTAAAATATTCTCCAAAGTGATAACTGAGGAGTTAGAGAGCTCTCGTGTTGGAAGCCTTAACAGTGCAGATGGAAGGCAGGCAGGGGGACACTGTTATTTTCACAGGATCACTGCTGTCTACTCTGAGGGAGCGGACTTTTGGGTAGCTAGGGATGAATGTCACAGGGACTCGGTTAATGTACTTAGTAGGGGACTGTCAGAGGCGGAAGGCAGAGCATATGGCCAGGACATGAGCTGACAGGCTGCCAGCAAAGAGGAAGAATTTGGCAGCTGAAACACACCCCAGTTAGCTGAGAAGACACCATACCTTACAGAACCGAAAAGCCACGTAATAAGGAAACCCTTGCAAATACTGGGTGATGTTTGTTCATGAATAGGGAGGGAAATAAAGGAAGCCACCGGGGACTGTCCCCATGGTCTACCCAGCATGAGTGAAAAGTGTAGAGGAAGTGAAACTCAGGCTAAGGTCACCAGGTCAGAATCCAGTGAGAAACCTAAGGATAAAAGCTCACCTGAGGGGGCTGGAGAGAGGAACTTAGCAGGAGCCAGGCTGTGGGTTTGATACCTGAACCCTCCCCCAAACTGACTCTTTTAGACGTCCCAGCACCCACATGGTGGCTCACAGCCATCTATAATTCCAGCTCCAGGGATCCAATGCCTTCTTCTGGCCTCCTTGGACACCAGCCCACACATAGGGCATGGATATAGGTGCAGACAAAACAGCCATATACATTTTAAAAAAGAAAGAAAAACCCTTGCTGGGTGGTTTTGGCACACTCCTTTAATCCCAGCACTCAGGAGGCAGAGGCAGGTGATTCTCTGTGAGTTCAAAGTCAGCCTGGTCTACACAGTGAGTACCAGGACAGCCAGGGCTACACAGAGAAGCCCTGTCTCAACCTGGAGAGGTGACTCAGAGGTTAAGAGCTCCAACTGCTCTTCCAGAGGTCCTGAGTTCAATTCCCAGCAACCACATGGTGGCTCACAACCATCCATTATGAGATCTGGTGCCCTCTTCTGGTGTGCAGATATACATGGAGGCAGAATGTTGTATACATAATAAAAAAGAAAAGAAACCCTGTCTCGAAAAACCAAAACACCCTTAGTGGGTAAGGGTGTTTGCTACCAAGCCTGATGAACTAAGTTTGATGACCCAGTGGTGAAAGGAGAGAACCAACTCCACAAGTTCTCTGACCTCCACATGTGTGCATGCATGTATACACACATTCATATACAAAATAAATGTAAAAAGTCAGGGGGATGGGTGGGGGAATTTGGGCTTATATGACCAAGATGCATTATATACCATGCATGAAATTTTCAAAGAATAATAAAAGGTATTAGTAAAAAACAATAAATACAAAACAAAAACAAAAAGAACCTCACCTGAGATGTGCCAGGAAGTGGACAGAAATGGCAGCATTTTGTGTTTACGTGTGAATGTACCCTCTTTCAGTCATGGATCCTTTGTTTGCTTGTTTTGGTTTTGGAGACAGGTTTTCTCTGTGTAGACCAGGCTGTTCTGGAACTGCAGAGATCCACCTGCCTCTGCCCGAGAACTAGGATTAAAAGGTGTGCGCCACCACCACCAGGGTCCATCATGGATCTTAATCTCCTATGACATGGGTGCCATCAAACAAAACAAAAACAATCAAAACAAGTGAAAAGTTCATGTGCCCCATTAGAATGGGGGAGCGCTTAGCCTGTGGAGTGAAACCAGGGGGCTGTTGTGAAGTGCCCTCATCCAGCAGGGCACGGTTTTCCTTCCTTCCTTTCTTCCTTTCTTTCTTTTTTGAGACAGGTTTTCTCTGTGCAGTCCTGGCTGTCCTGGAATTTTAGACCCGGCTGGCCCTGAACTCACAGAGATCCACCTGCCTCTGCTTCCCAAGTGCTGAAATGAAAGGCAGGCACCACCACGCCTAGCCTGAGAAGTCATTTTTCAGTGCACCTGCTAATATGAAGTGCATGAAGTGGTTGGGGCCTTGGGGGCCATTGCAGGCTTTTATTCTATTCTTTGCAAATAAATAGAATGTTCTTGTTTTTTGCCCCAAGGCACGACAGCAAGCTCAACTACGTCACCAAATGGCAGAGGACAGCAAAGCCGATTACTCCTCCATCCTTCAGAGATTCAACCAGGAGCAGTGGGAGTACTACCATACCCACATCCCCAACATCTTCCAGGTAAGTGCTCCACAGCACTCACAGTCAGGTTGCTTCTGATGTGACAGGGCCTTGCTGTGTAGCCCGGGCTGGCCTGGAAGTCACTGGTACCTAGGCTGACAGTCATCCTGCCTGGCCTCCTGAGTCCTGGCGTCACAAGTGTGCACCACCACATCTGGGGTGCACACATATGTATGTGTGGAGGCCAGAGGTCAGCTTGGATAGTATCTGCACCACACGCATGCCTAGTGCCCCTGAGGATCAGAAGATGACCTTGGATCCCTGGAACTAGAGTTCCAGATGGTTGTGAGTCACCATGTGGGTGCTGGGAATTGAGTCCAGGTCCTCTGCAAGAGCAGACAGTGCTCTTAAGTGCTGAGTTATCTCTCCACTCTCCCACCCTTTTATTTGAGACTGGGTCTCTCAGTGGCAGGCTACAGAGATGGCTCCGTAGTTGAAAATGCTTGGCTGGCTCTTGTGGGAGATTGGAGTTTGGTTCTGGAAGCCCACATTGCCTGCAACTCCACCTCCAGGGTATCTGCCCTCATCTTTTGGCCTCCTGGGGTACCTCTGTGGACATCTGCTCACACATGGCTTATATAATCACACACACACACACACACACACACACACACACACACACACACACAATAATAAGTAAGCCAGCAAGCAAGCCCCATGGATTCTCCTGTTTGTTACCTCAGCACAGGGCTTACAGGTTCATTCTATCACACCCAGCTTTTTTATATGGGTTGTATGGATCAAACTCAGGTCCTCATGCTCGCACAGCAAGCCCCTTACCTAATGAGCAATGTCCCCAATCCCCACTGAGCTGTTTCCCAAGCATGTAGGTGAAGCAACGGCCACCAATAAGAACAAAGCACAATGTTAACTTGGGGTTCATAGTTGCCTGTGTAGAAAGCCTGGGTCTTCACTGTGCCCGTGTTTTTTGCAGGGGTTGATATCTTACAACTATGCCTCTTAGATGACTGCTTCCTTTTTAAAGGACACTCTACTCTGGCTACAAGAAATGCCAGCTTAGCTTTAGGAGACAAAGCAGCATTCAGAGTGGTGGGATCTGAACAAACAAGTATTGTTTTCTTTGAATTGTTCTTTCTCTTCTTTTTAAAATCTCTCTCTCTCTCTCTCTCTCTCTCTCTCTCTCTCTCTCTCTCTCTCTGTATATGTGTGTGTGTGTGTTTATGTGGTGTGTGTGTGTGTGTGTATGTATATATGTATATGTGTATATGTATGTGGTGTGTGTGTGTGTGTGTGTGTGTGTGTGTTATTTATTTATTTGAGACAGTCTCACTATGGACTCCTGGCTACCTTAAAACTCACTATGTAGAACAGGCTGACCTCGAACCCAGAGATCCAGATCTGCCTCTGCCTTCTGAGTGCCGGGATTAAAGGTGTGGGCCACCACACCCAGCCACCTTAGTTCTTGGAGGCAGACTCTCTCACTGATCTGGAGCTTCCCTGTGTTGCTGGGCTGGCCGGCTGGCCAGCAGCCAGCTCTGGAGAGCCACCTGTCTGTCTCTACAGCATTGGGCTTTCTGTCGTACCCCACCCCTGGCACTTTTACATGACTAGTGGGGGTTAGACTCAGGTCCTTGTGACTGTGTGGCAAACAGTTTACCAACTAAGCATCTCTCCAAGCATCATTTCTCTGGCTCCCTTAAGTGGTCAAAAATGTTACAAGGGACTCCACATAAACTCACTGTGGAGCACTGGTTTGTCACACCTAAGCCTGTCCTTCCATCCCTAGCTCGACAGTCAATCAGGCAACCAGTGTACAAAATAAACACACACACACACACACACACACACACACACACACACACCTATTTTCCTGTTTGTTGAATTTTGTCTGGTTTTTGATTTTGAGACAGAGTCTTGCTGTGTAGCCCAGGCTGGCCTTAAACTAGTAGTGATCCTCCTGCCTCAGCCTCAGGAATGCTGGGGTTACACTACGTTTCAAATGTAGAAAAGCCAAGGTAACTGATTGAAGTAACTCCCCTCGTTGGGTCTGATTGGGTTCCTGGTGTCCCTTGCCACCAATGAACCTCTAAGCCGCAGAGGGCAGAGCTTTAGTTCAGCCTGCGTTGCACTGAGATGGTTACCAGAATGTTTTTGTGAACGATGGGACATGAAGGGGTGTGCATTTCGGAGGATGGTTGGTAGCAGAGCTGGGCTGGGGTGGGGCATGTGCCGCTAATGTGACCCTAGCACTTGGGAAGCAGAGGCAGGAGGTCAGAAGTCAAAGCTAGCCTGGGCTACATGAAACCCTGCCTCAAAAGCACAAAATAATAAATAGTATCATAAAGCCCCTGTGGTGGCTTGTAGTCACTTTCATTGTCGCTGTGATAAAATTCTCTCACAAGGCAGCTTCAGAAAGCAAGGGTTTATTGGCTCACAAGTGAGGGTACAGAGCATCATGGCAGCAGGGCAGGAGGGGGCTGGTCACAGGGCATCTGCAGTTGGGAAGCAAGGGATAATGAATGCTAGCGTTCAGCTCGCTTTCTCCTTTGTTTTTAAATTTCCTGTTTTTCTATTTTGTATGTCTGAGTGTTTTGTTTGCATGCATGTCTGTGTGCCACAAGCATTCAGTGCCTGCAGGAGCCAGAAGAGGGCGTCAGATTCCCCGGGGACTGGAGTCACAAAGGGTTGTGAGCCCCCATATGGGTGCTGGGAATCAAACCCAGGCAGGTCCTCAGGAAGAAGAGCCAGTGCTCTAACCAGTGAGCTATCTCTCCAGCCCCCTGTCCTACATATAAAGAATTGTCTTGCATTTGATTATGTATTTGTTTAGTGAGTGGGTTATGTGCTCCAGGCACAGTGCACACAGTAGTCAGAGGACATTCTGTTTTCTCATTGCTAAGCTGGTTCCAGGGTTGAATTCAGGTTATCAAGCTTAGAAGCAAGAACCTACAGCTGCTGAGAGTCTTGTGGATTTGCTTTTCTTTTTCAGTCTGGAACCCCAGCACAATGAATGACCCCCACACTTAGAGGGACTCATCTCACCTCTTAACTAACCAAGAAAATCCTTCATAGACACATGCCCATATTCAGTGATTGACATTGATGTCACACGTCACAGGGGGGTACTACTGAAACTGCAATGCACTTGTTTGAAGGGCTCGCTGAACACAGCACAGCTGGCTGATCTATGATGGTACAATAAACCCACAGTTATTCAGAATCCAATCTGTTCCCCTGCAGTAGTTGCAGGGTAACAGTATCACCCCAAAACAGTTTCTCCAAGTAATAGTCAACTATTTCACACACAGTCTGATTTTTGCAGAAAATACAAGAGATGGAGGAAAGGCGGATTGTGCGCATCGGAGAGTCCATGAAAACATACGCTGAGGTGGACCGGCAGGTGATACCCATCATCGGGAAATGCCTGGACGGTATAGTGAAGGCGGCCGAGTCTATCGACCAGAAAAATGTAAGTGTAGTCAGTCCCTGGACTTCTCATTGTTCAGTCATCTCTCTCCCTGTCCCTCCAGCACCACTTTGTGTGTGGACCTTGGGCCACCTGCTGCCTGTGGTTACTATACTTTTGCACCTGAAAGCCGTTTTGGGGTTTTTTGTTTTGTTTTGGTTTTCAAGACAGGGTTTTGGCTGGCGGTGGTGGCGCACACCTTTAATCCCAGTGCTAGGGAGGCAGAGGCAGGTGAATCTCTGTGAGTTTGAGGCCAGCCTGGTCTACAGAGTGAGTTCCAGGACAGCTAGGGCTACATGAAGAAATTCTGATTCAAAAAAAAAGAAAAGAAAAGAATTAGAAGTCTAGATGAAGCTTCCTTCAATCGATCTGTTTAAATGCTTAGTGACTTACCGTAAGAAACATGATGAGCCGGGTGTTGGTGGCACACACCTTTAACCCCAGCGCTTGGGAGGCAGAGGCAGGTGGATCTCTGTGAATTCGAGGCCAGCCTGGTCTCCAGAGCGAGTGCCAGGATAGGCTCCAAAGCTACACAGAGAAACCCTGTCTTGGAAAAAAAAAAAATAATAAAGAGAGACATGATGAAAGGGGGGATCTATTAAAGACAGAGCAACATGGGACACACTACTAAGAGAAAAAAAATCCAGTATCAGTAGGATTTTCTTGGTTTGGCCTCTGTGTGCATTATCAGTGCTCTGGTGTTGATGTGGTTGTTCATGGGTATTCTTGCAGGACTCCCAGCTGGTAGTTGAAGCCTACAAGTCAGGGTTCGAGCCTCCCGGAGACATTGAATTTGAAGACTACACACAGCCGATGAAACGCACGGTTTCAGAAAACAGCCTTTCCAGCTCCAAAGAAGGCAAGCCAGAGCTCAAGTTTGGCGGCAAGTCCAGAGGCAAGCTGTGGCCATTCATCAAGAAAAACAAGGTACTGGCAGTTCGGACCCTGTGCGGGCTGAGGTGACAAGGTGCAGAGACTCAGAGTTTTGGTCTTAATCAAACTAAGCTCTGTACTTCCAGAAAGCGCAAGAGAACAGTTAGCGTGCTGCGTTCATTTCATGATTCCAACGGCCTCTTTCTGGTGGTGGTGTCTTTGCCGTGGCCTCTGTCTTATTGCAGATGTGTTGTCACCTGGACTGGGTCACCCGCACTAACATCACTGACCTCACAGCCCTTTCACCCACCCCTTATCCTCCCAGATTGCTGGGCACCTCTGCTGGGAGCCAGGGGACAGGGTCCCATCTAATCAAGCTTGCCAGCTGGGCTTGGTTTTGAATCCATGATAACTCTGTCTCCGTGAACATTTTTCCATTTTCGTTTCATAGCGTGGTATGTAGGTGCATGAGAGCGCTAACCCAGCGGCCTAAAACGGGATGGAGGTGGCATTACTACATTAACCTTAGGTCAGCCTGGGTGTCTGAGATTCCCAGGACAGGACTGTCCTGCTGTTTTTCAAAACCTCAGTACTTTAGGACCCCCGCCAACCCCACTGAGCTGTTAATTTAGGTGCAGAAATGTTTACCCCTCTGGCTTTGGGAATGACTAATGAGAGCTGTAGCTTGCATGTGGCCATCTGCATGAGCTTTGGGTCACAAGGTTCTGCCCTCCTGTCCATACTCACTGACCCTCTCCTTTTCACTCCCTCTTCGTGGAACACATCCTACATGATTTCTTTTGTGCCGTGGCATCGATATTAATGGTTTGTGTTTTACTTGCTTTGGATCTTGAATATGATTTGATGCTCATTTCTGTTTTGTGTCTTCCCGTTTCTGATTTTTTTTTTTTACTGTCACTGCTCATCTCTCACATGTAGCTTATGTCCCTTTTAACATCCCCCCATCAGCCTCCCCCTCCTCCCCCTGCCTCTGCCTCACCCTCTGCTGTTCCCAACGGCCCCCAGTCTCCCAAGCAGCAAAAGGAACCCCTCTCCCACCGCTTCAACGAGTTCATGACCTCCAAACCCAAAATCCACTGCTTCCGGAGCCTAAAGCGTGGGGTAAGTTCCGCTCTGGAATCCTGCGTCTCTTGCGCACTGTGTTGCATGTCTCATTCTGCATAACTTACTTTGTTTGTGAATGAACCCAGTGTGTTTTCCTGTAACATTTGGAGAGAGAGAAAGCTTGAGCCGAGTTTCCCAGAGAGCCAGAGAGCAAAAGAATGGCAGAAGAAAAGGAAGGAGCAGAGCAGGGAGGAAGAGAGGGCCAGCAGGCCTGAGATTTTATCCTCTAGTCCATGCTGGAAGCACCCCCACTTCCTCTTCAGAGGACTGGAGTCATTTATTTCCTCCTTGCTCTCTTAAACTGACAGTGTGGAAAATGAGGAAGTGGAAATGACTGGACAGTCAGAAAATGCGTACTAATTACAGACCCGAGTGCAGTGCAGACGCTGCTCTGTCCTAACGAAGCCTTGTGGCAAAGAGGAAGCCTACCAGGCACACTCTGGTTCCCTTGTGAAGTTAAGGGATGGTGATAAAATACCTCTCCACTGGATAGGGCTGATCTCTGTACAGGTGAAGCAGCCCAAATCCAAACTCAAAATTCCCAAGTGTTTTGAATGCTATCATGACACTGTGAATGGAAAATTCCACACTTGCTCTCGTGTGAGAGATTGCAACCATAACACAATACCAGGCTGTGAGTGTGGCCACAGGTAGATGTTTACATGAGGCCTGGCTTCCATCTCCAGGACCACAGAAACAAAACACAGACACCAGAAGCATGTACAAATGACATGTTCAAAAACCACACAGGTAGGTGGGGCGTTGGTGGTGCGCGCCTTTAATCCCAGCACTCGGGAGGCAGAGGCAGACGGATCTCTGTGAGTTCGAGGCCAGCCTGGTCTCCAGAGCGAGTGCAGGATAGGCTCCAAAGCTACACAGAGAAACCCTGTCTCACCACACAGGGTAAAGCCAAGTAGTTGTAGTGCACACTTTTAATCAGCACTTGGGAGGCAGAGGCAGGCGGATCTTTGAGTTCAAAAAAAAAAAAAAAAACAAAAACTACGCAAAACCAAAAAACATGTAAAATGTATGTGAGTTTCATGTTTAGATTTGGATCTCATTTTATATATGTAGATATCCCCATAAAGTCTGAAGCACTTATGGCCCTGGACGGACATTTTTGTGAGGAACACTAACCCTGCATCTCTTTGCAAAGAGACAAGGCACAACTGCAGTGACGTTTATCAAGACCATCTGCATTCTGTTCTGAGCTTTTGCTGTATGCTAATAGAAGCCATGGCACCAGGGTATAAAGTCAGGGAGTCTGTGGTGCCCTGTGGGAACAATCTCTTACAACACAATTTCTGTTAAGACTCGGGTTCAAAACCAGGTGTGCACACCTGTCCTAGCCTTCAGAGGTTCAGAAGTTCAAAGCCATCCTTGGCTAGTAAGGTCAAAGCCATCCTGGGGTACATGAGATTCTGTTCAAAACAAACAAACAAACAAACAAAAAGCCATCCAGTTTTCATGACAATTAAGATTGTGGCCCTCCCTTCCTCTTTCTCTCTTTTTTTCTTCCTTTTTTGAGACGGGGTTGCTCTACATAGCCCCGGCTGTCCTGGAACTTGATTTGCAGAACAGGCTGACCTTGAACTTCTGATCTCAGCAGGCTGCTCTCACCACCACATCATGTTTTATGCCGTGCTGGGATGCACCCTAAGCAAGTGCTCTACAACTGAGCCACATCCCCAGCACTGTTTCTGATTTTTTGAAATGGGATCTCATTATGAAGCCCAGTCTGGTCTTAATCTTAGTGGTGATCCTCCTGTTTCAGCCTCTGGAGTGCTGAGGTTAGACCAGGATGCTGATTCCATGAATGGAATCCAGCAGATGAGGAGATCCAGCAGCTGATGCGTTTGAGACAAATGCTCATCTAATTAGCATGGGTTTGGAATCTCTTCCTATGCCAGTGGATGCTGGAGCAGGAAACACAAAACTCAGGAACTTTCCATTCACAAGGAACACTGGACCTGTCTTTGCCCAGCCAAACTGCTAACCAACAAAGTCTGATACCCAGCTCCAGCTCTAGAGGTAACTTACCTCCTGGGCACCTGGGCTATGTGAGATCCTATCTCAAAAATAATATAAAATAATGGGCCAGTGATACAGCTCAGCAGGTAAAAAATACTTGGAGATAAGCCTGACAACCTGAGTTCAATCCCTAGGACAGAATCAATGAAAGGAGAGAACCAAGTTCCCAAAGCTGTCCACTGCCCTCCATGTGCCCACAACAAACAAACAAACAAACAAATAAATAAAATAGAGGAGTAGATTAAAAAAAAAAAAGTAGAGTCCAAAAATCAAGGTCGAAGGAAGGAGGGATACATTTGAGGGAATTATTTTGCTTTAAGGCTACCTAGACTATAAATTTAAAAATCGGAAATTTGGGCTGGTGAAATGGTTCAGTAGATATAGGAACCTGACAACCTAAGTTGAATCTCTTGAACCCACATGGTTGAAAGAGAGAACCAAGCCCCACAAATTGTCCTCTGACCCCTACATGCATGCCTTGGTATTCAAATGCCCTCCCACACACTGCATAAGTAAATGTAATCATTTTTTATTAAATCAGAAAATTTAATTTCCTAAAACTGTCAGGACAGCCCCTGTCAGCAGGCAGAGTAGCTTCAGAAGTGGACGATGGATCGTGCTGAGCTCTGTTGTTGGGACTGGCTGAGCAATCGGCAGCTTCTTGGCTCAATTATGCTGGCTTTTAGAACTCCACTCTTCATCAGAGAATTTCCACGGATGTAACCAGGGTGAGCCAGGCTCAGAGTCAGTTACATCATGTTATTACATAATCACTCATGTTTATATACATCTGCATCTGTCTGTCGGACACTCACGATGACATTTCAGGTGTTTTCACGGTCACCATTCATGTGCATATCTGTTCTGTGGTGCGGTATCACACAGTCTACTAGTCATCAATGGTTTCTGTGTCTGTGTTCATGGTGTCCCCAAGTGTGTAGGCAGAGACCAAAGAGTGTCTGTGTTCAATTAGTACAAGAAAAGATGGTTTAAAAAAAGTCTGATTTAAAGAAAGTTTATTATTTTTTTTAAACCAGCAAAATGAATTTTATTTCTTACTCCTCAAATCTATGTTCAGCAAATTCCTCTTATGGAAACTCTCCTGGATGGTAAGTGCCTTCTCCCAATGTCAAACAACCTGCTAGAAGCTTCAATATTGAGGAGCATGGAGAATAGCTTTGCCTCCAACGTTTGTGATGAGCCCTTAGGGTCAGATCTGATGCTTTTTCTAGCAAGGAGGGGTGGGAGGAGGAAGAAAGGAAGGGGGAAACACTAAGCCTTTGAAAACATCATAAACTCAAAGCCCAGGGAACTAGGCCAGGTATGCAGCAATCTCACTGTGGGAGGTGCTGGGTCCATGACGAACAGAATGGAGTCCTTGCTTCCTCTTGCACTTGAACTTGAGACTGCCACCCCTGAACAAAGGAGCTTGAGGAAGGATTCTGGGAAAATAACTGTAACTGTGGCATGTCCTTTTGTTTTGTTCAGTTTTTTTCATTTTGTGTTTTGTCTGTGTACATATCTGTGCACCATTTATGTGCCTAGCTCCCTCAGAGTTCAGGAGAGGGAATTCCCTTGGAACTGGAGTTGTCTATGGTTGTGAGTCACCATGTGGGTGCTGGGAATTAAACCCAGATCCTCCTCAAGACCAACGAGTGCATCTAACCTCTGAGTCATCTGTCCAGTACCCTGTGGTTTAATTTATCATGTTTCACAGCCTTCAGATTAGAATTCTAAGTATCTGGTTTAATGGTCAGAATGTGGAAATTGTGTGAAACTCTTTCTTTTTCTTTTCTTTTTTTTTTTTCCTGAGACAAACCACCTCACCTGACTCAATGTTGCAAACACTTGTTTTTGGTTTTTTGGTTTTTCGAGACAGGGTTTCTCTGTGGCTTTGGAGGCTGTCCTGGAACTTGCTCTGTACACCAGGCTGGTTTCCAACTCACAGAGATCCACCTGCCTTTGCCTCCCAAGTGCTGGGACTGAAGGTGTTCGCCACCACTGCCTGGCTGTGCAAACATTTCTTAGCATAGCTTAGTTTATTTCTGAATAATTAAAAAACATTAAATGTTGTTGTTGTTGCTGTTGTAAGCCATTTTCTGAAGGTATTTACAGAGGATCTACACCACCAGACAGTAGTAGTGAGAGTGGGTATGGATGTACATCCCTGTGATCCCAGTCCCTGGGAGGTGAAAACTGAGGATCAGGAATTCAAGGTCATCCTCCTTTACACATGGAGTTTGAGGCCAGTGTGAGCTACATGAGAGGAAAATCGAAGAGGTATGGGGCACACAGAAATTGATACATGGATGGATGGAAGATAGATGTTAGAGGATATATAGAAAGATAAATAGATGTTAGATAGATTGATGAACTGGTAATTGATGGATTGAGACAGATGATTACTAGATAGATGGTAGATGATGGATGATAAATGGATAGGTAGGTAAGAACATGCCCTGAGTTTGACTCTAGGAGGAGTAATTGTCTTAAACGAAGATTTCCTTTTGCACCTGTGCAAAGCAATTGTCTAGCTAAAACTAGATGATCCCTCCTGTATTTTAAAGTTAATCTTAGGAAACACCACCCAAGCAGAGCAAGACATTTGGAAATCTGTTATTGTGAGTCACATTATGAATGTGCAGTTCCTTTTTTTATATATCTTACCTTGATCTCTTGCTGACTGTTGGCAGACTCAGTCTTTGTGTTATCACAAAGAGCTCATGAAGAGGACTCTAGGGAAACCCACGCATGCCTTCGAGGCTAGGGACTATGTTGTAAGTCTGCCTATGCTGCAAGTGTGCAGTCACAGCCAAACCACTAACCCCAGGGACAGCGCCAAGACTGGGGACACAGGTGCAGCTGTAACACTTCCATCCCATTGATCAAAATTCTCAACTGAGAGAGCTGCACCCTGGGGCAAGGATGGGGGGTCTTCAGGTATAAATCCAACGGCTATTTTATCCCAAACTTGTATAGAAAGACCCAGTCCCCCTAATAGACGTCCAATGCCCCTGGATGTCCACTGAATGAGCTCACTGTCAGAATGCCCCTTTCAAGAGCCTGCAACTGTCATGTGAAATGTCCATGGTGTCCCTGTATATGAGTTTATGGCAGAAATTTACTCATAAAACACAGCTGCAGAATGTAGTCACCAGAGAGAGACAGTTTAGGGCATGAAGATGTGACCCATGCAGGGATCCACTTCTGTGTTTGCAGCCAGTGGGTCCCTAGGGAGTCATGCCAGGAGTGTGGAGAACAAGAACTCAAACAGTTGGGAGCAGAGAGGGTAGACTTCACCAAAAAGCGTGCACTTAGGCACTTACCATCCCCTTTCTTTGCGCTTGAGGTTAGTAGCTGTGACCGTCCAATGACACATGGACGAGCTGGCTCTGTCTCCTTATTGATGCCCGCTTCTCCCAGAGCCCCTAACTGTTGCCTGAAGGTGTGTGGTCCCTCAGTGTCTAGTCACACACTCCGTGAGGTCTTCTCCTTTTTTCTCCTAGGAGAAGGCTTGCTTTCTAATTGGAAGTGACCTAATTGGCTGACTTATGACTTACAACCTGAAAAACACTCAATCATGCTTAAAAAAGAATTCCAAACACCACAGGTGTGGCAGGTGATCTTTCACCACCCACTCCCAGAAAATGGAATGTGAGAGTTTTGGTGTTTCCAAAAACTGAGTGTGAGAATTTAGTAATTCGTGTCTCTATTGGAACAGATGTTGGATTTTACTGATTTGTTCTTATTTTGAAGTGGTGACCTCCTATTGGCATTATAAGTTTGTCTCTGGGAGATTTCAATTATAATCTCAAGTCCTGAAGGGGGCCCTGTAGAGAACAAATAGTGAGCCAGGTTTTTGGCATTCACACTGAGATTGTGTGTGAGGAAACACTTACTGGTGTCCGCTCGTGTGCTTTGGGGGCCGTCTCCTGCTCTGCACCGTGAGTGTTGTCTGAGGTGTCCGGTCGTGTGCTTTGGGGGCCGTCTCCTGCTCTGCACCGTGAGTGTTGTCTGACGACGAGCTCAACTTGTGATGGACAATCTGTGCGTAAGCTCCAGGAGGCTCAGCAGTTCAGGGCCACAGCTGTCCTGTCTGTCTCTTCCTTCCACATGGGAAGGGTTTCTCTTTTTTTGTTTTGTTTTGTTTTTTTTGGGGGGGGGCGGGTTGAGACAGGTTTTCTCAGTGGCTTTGAGAACTAACTTGTAGACCAGGCTGGTTCTGAACTCAGAGAGATCCGCCTGCCTCTGCCTCCGGAGTGCTGGGACTAAAGGCGTGTGCCACCACTGCTCGGCTGGGAAGGGTTTCTTTAAAAATGATTGCTTATTTACAAAGAAGTGTCAACCTTGTGTTTTTGTTTGTTTTGAGACAGGATTTGTGTAGTCCAGGCTGGCCTGGAACTCAGCTGTGTAGACCAGTCTTCTGTGCCCTGAGTGAGAGCCACCAAGCCTAAAGTATCAACTTTAAATAATCTTGAGGGAAAAAATGTGTAAAAGTTGGCTGAGAACTTTTAGCTTCTCTCTACCTAGCATAAAAATCCAAGTGTGCTTTCTCTGGTATCTATCCTCCAAGTATGTCTGCAGCCTACTGTCAGGTACTAGGGCCTTCTGCATTGCTAGAGACCAAGTCTGTCATGTGAACTCTCCCTGGCCAGACAGCGGGGTCTCACAGAATCTTGTTTCTGTTTGCATTCTCGTAGCCCTCTTACTATGGCTGGAGTCCTGTGGTCACGGGACCTTTCTCGTCCCCAGGCCAGCAGTTGTGGAGCTGTTGTGGCCCTGTAGTAATCAGGTCACCCAACCACAGCAGCGTCTACCCATATCCTAAAGGTAGCAACATAAGCTACTGTTCACGGTCACTCTCCAAATGCAGTGTAGCCACACAGACAGGCTTGGAGTTCAATAGCAATCCTCAAATCACATGTATGTAGTCCCACTGCTCAGGAGCCTGAGGCCAGATATAGCTACATAGCACCACCCCAAAGCTCCCCTAAAAGAAATCAAAAGATCAAGCCACAGAAGTCCCCCTCATGGTCTAGCTGGTGCTGGTGTGCAGGAGGAAGGCTGAATCGCCTGGCTACCTCCATCCTGCTGCCAATAGGGTCTCTAGCTTCTGACCTCCACATATATGCTGTGGCACATGCGCACATGCCTAAACAAACACACAATCAATCAATCAATCAGTGTAAGGGGTGTGCTGGAGAGATAGCACATCAGTTAAGAAATTTGCTACTCTTGTAGGGGACAGAGGGGGGGAGGGGGGAGGGAGGGAGGAAAGCAAAAGAGAGAGAGAAAGAGAGAGAGAGGAAAGAGAGAGAAAAGAGAGAGAGAGGAGAGAGAGAGAGAGAGAGAGAGAGAGAGAGACAGAGCAACCACATTTTTTCATTGTTTTGTTTTGTTGGTTTGTTTCAAGACAGGGTTTCTCTGTGTAATCTGGCTTCCTGGAACTCGCTCTGTAGGCCAGGCTGGCCTAGAACTCACAGACATAGGCCTGCCTCTGCATCCCAAGTGCTGGGATTAAAGGTGTGTACTACCACACCTGGCAAAAAACAAAAACAAAAAAGCTACTATTAAAAAATAAAAACTGGGGCTGGAGAGATGGCTCAGGTTAAGAGCACTGGCTGCTCTTCTAGAGGTCCTGAGTTCAATTCCCAGCAACCACATGGTGGCTCACAACCATCTGTATTGAGATCTGGTGCCCTCTTCTGGCCTGCAAGCATACTTGGAGGCAGAATGTTGCATACATAATAAATAAATAAATAAAATCTTTAAAAAATAAAATAAAATAAAAACTATCTAGGTGTTGGTGGCACACACCTTTAATCCCAGCACTTGGGAGGCAGAGGCAGGCGGATCTCTGAGTTTGAGGCCAGCCTGGGCTACAGAGTGAGTTCCAGGACAGTCAGAGCTGTTATACAGAGAAACCCTGTCTTGAAAAAAAACAAAAAAAATTTTCCCCCGAATTAAAGAAAAAAATCTAATTAACACACCCATTTGAGCGGGGTGGGGGTGGGGGGTGGGTGATGCATGCCTGTGACCCCAGCACTCAGAGGCAGAGAAGAAGGCTTCCTGATAATTTGAGGCCATCCCAGTCAGGGCTGCACATTGGGTAACCCTGTCTCAAAAAAAAATTTTTAAAAGGAATCCGAATCAGATGTCCTAGGAGACCTCTGGTAAACAAAGTGCTGTGTGATTCTTTTCCTTTTGGGGTCATTATGTGTCACAGTTATGCCTAGCAGGGTAAAGGTCTGTTCCCAGCACCATTCCAGATCTCCTCCCCAGCAAGCTGGTTTCCATAGGCATCCAGTGGGAGGTGACAGTGGGGGTCATGAGGACTCACCTCTCACACCTTGTCTTGGCTTTGGCACCCAAGCCACCTAAGAAGTTCTGTTACAACCAAGCCCTCCTGTGAACTTTTGCACAGATCTGCCCTGGCCATTTTCACAAGTCGGCAGGCAAGCTGATGTCATGTGCCCAGTGGACTGGCCTCTTCTGACCTGTTTTTTTTCTCTCTCTCTTTCTTCCCGTTTGTTACCTCTCCAATTTTTCCATGAAGCTTTCTCTCAAGCTGGTAAGCACAATGTACCCCATGCATGTCCTTAATCTAATCGGGTTTCTGGTGTGTGTTATGGATGCTATGCCTCCAACATTAACTGCTCACATTCTTTTCTCCTTCAGGCGCTTTTGTTGGTGTCTGTTTGATCTCTGGATGTGTGACTGTCTTATTCACTCACTAAGAAAATTAATGCTTACCATGATTAATGTTTACCATGAAAATTAATGATTACCATGGTTTTCCTTACTGTGTGAAACTTATGAGTATGCCTAGCATTGACCAACTGCTTATATTTATCAGAATGTAAATGTCAGAAACGGGGGGTAGAGGTGGCAGGGGTCCTACTGAATCAGTTTAAATAGTTGGAAGGTACTCCTTCATGGGAGCCACTAAAGAAGACATATGGAAGGCAGAGGCAAATGGATCTCTGTGAGTTCCAGGCCAGCCTGGTCTACATAGTGAGTTCCAGGCCAGCCAGGACTATTTGGAGAGACCCTGTCTCAAACACAAAACAAAATAAAACCAAACCAAACAAACATAAAACCACCACCACCTCAACAAAACAAACAAACCAGCAAAAACTGGGAGCCTGAAGGAGACACTCGAGTGTGTGTCACGCCTGTAATGACTGCTTGGATTTGGGGTAGGAAAGACCAATGGGAAGTGAGGGACCTCCTGGGGGCCTGCACAGCTCTGTGGGTGCCTTGGGTAAAGGTGATTCCAGAGGCCACAGATGCTCTGATGGACAAAGGGAAGCCTCTCACCCATCCTTGCTTAAGCTGTCTACCTAATATCTGTCTGTCTTGCTTTTCCTTCATGGTGTAGTTCTAGTGAACAACCAGAGTAATTGTTCAGTTTATTGAAAGAGAATCCTAACCAACGTAATCCACTATACTTGGAGAATGAATGAGGGCTGTGTTTCCTTTGGGGACACAGATCCTTCACCAGCTTGGGAGTAAGTTGTTGCTTCCATGCCATTCCTCTGAAGTCAATGAAAAAGTGAAAAGGGGGTGGTATAGAGGTGCTCGGTGGGTAAGAGCACTTGCCCTTACAAGCACGAGGGCTCAAGCGAAGTCTCTAGTCCTATCTGAAAAGCCAGGTATGGCTGTGTGTATACCTGTAATCCCAGCACTGAGGGACAGAGAGAGGTGAGTTCTAAAGGAAGTGCACTGGACAGCCAGTCTCACCGAAAAACCAGTCTCTTTACCAGGCTGTAAAGTAGAGAGCTAGGAAGACAGCTGATACCCTGCTGGAGTGACACCTTGGGTATACACACCCCTCTGCATACTCATGTGCATGGACCACAAACGCGCACACAGACATGAAATATTAGGTAGGAAATGGGTTCATTGTAAAAGCAAATAGCTTGAGGATCTGTTTTACCCAGGACTTGTGCCCAGGAGCAATGTAGGTGCCATCTTGAGATGAAGCAAGGCTGAATACAGAGCCCTTTAACCTGGGTGTGTGTGACCCCACCTTCCATGGCTGGTTCCACCATTCTGCAAACTGGGCCACTCCAGCCACATCAGAGGCATCCCCATTGACTCAGAGCTAGAAACAAGAGCCCCATCTCCACAAAATGAGTCACATGTCAGAGCCTTGTTTGAGGAAATGTAAACTTCAAAAGCCTAATTGGGTGAGACACCCTTTCTACCGATCCTAAGTTTATGTGGGAAGCTGTTGACCTGAATCTCCATAGTAACCAAGGTTTGAGGCTTTTCCAGTGACTTGTTTTCAAGTAACAATGATATTTGAATAGCCAGGGTAGCTATTGAAAAGGACCTGACTGGTCAGTTAGGTTGATACTTTATCAATTGAAGATAATGCTTGGGTCAGTTAGGTTATTTTGTCATATGTTGTCATAAGTGACCAGTGCTGTCTCTTCTGTGGCTAGTCACAAGTCACCAGCCCAAAGTGTTCCTTACAGGTGTCTCTGCTGTTTAGATGCCATCCAAGCCTTCACCTGTTCTAAATACATTTAAAAGATTCAGGTCACCACTAAAACCAGCTTCGTGCAAGGGCAGGCAGTCTCCTGAAGCTACTGCCCCAGGCACTGAATGTTTCCATCATCACAGACAATGCTAGAGGTCTCTCTGGCCACTGACCAGACTGCCTCACTTCCACAGACCAGTGAGTGACTTGTATTGAGTTTTGTTACATTCCAGAAAAACAAAAACAAAAAAACTCCCAAAATCTCAGTGCTGGGAAGATGGGTCAAAGGTGAAAGTGTTTGTAAGCCCAAGCGTGAAGCTTGAGTCTAAATTCCCAGAATCATTGTAAAAGCACCCAGCAGGCATGTCTGTAATACCAGTGCCCTGTTGAGAGATATAACATGCAGTGGATAAACAGCCTAGAGACTCTGCCTCAAAAAAAGTGGAAGATAAGGACCCCTGGTGTGTGTGTGGTGTGTGTGTGTGTGTGTGTGTGTGTGTGTGTGTGCAATCTCAGTCTAGGAGACAAGTATCAGGATCACCAAGATGGCTCAGGGGGCAGGGAGGCTTGGTGCTAAGCCTGATGACCTTGAGTTCCATTTCAGAGACCCACATGGTTGAAAGATGGAGCTGACTCCCACAGATCATATAATAAATAAAAATTGTAAAGACAGATTTTCCTCCAAGTTCAATGCTTGAATAGAGTGACTACAAAGGAAGACATTGAGGTCTTCAGATAGTGGTCACAGAGAGGGAAGCTGCCCCAGCCGCTGCCATACTGAGGGACCAACTTGCTGCTGCTTGGTTTCAGCCTTTGCTTGGCTTGGTGACAGAAATGCCTCCCCCCTCTCCCCTCAACTGTCACACACACTCAGGGTGTCTCAGAATGGGGCTCTGATCTCCTAGTGGCTTGAGGCAAATATTTGCTGACTCATGCACTTACCAGCCTAGCCATCTTCCTCATAATCGGCCTACAAACTTCTGCCACAAGTCCCTGAGAAGTTCTGTCACAAGTCCCTGAATAAGCCGCTTGGCAAATCCCAGTGGATTCCAGAATCCGCATTCTCTGGGCCCCCTTTCTTCTCGCCCCCTTATTTGAAAAGAATTGAGGTTTTCAAGTAAAATCTCTCTTGTAAGTTTCCTGGCTTTCACTGGGCCCGTTGAATACATTTCATTCTTTATGAAGACAGCCTCATTTAAGGAAAAACTCTGGGCTCTCCAGCAATGAGGCGGTCCTTGGAGGGAGACCAGCTCCTGATGCCTTCTCTGAAAGCACATACACAAAGGCAGAGTGCAGTAGGATTTTAGAGAGAGCCCCAGCCAGGTGTGGTGGCTCATATCTGCAGTCCTGGCACTCGTAGTCTGAAGGACTGCTTCCACAGCAAGTACCAGGCTAAGCCAGTGCTAAAAACTGGGAGTGGGGAAATGAGGCTGGAGAGATGGCTCGATAGTTAAGAGAATGTATTGCTCTTGTGGAGGATCCAAGTTCCCAGCACCCCCACATGGTGTGGCTCATAACCACCTACAACTTTTTCCAGGGGAATTCCATGCCCTCTTCTGGACTCTGCTGAACTTTAAAACAAAGTTTTTTAAATCTGGGGGAGGGGACCAGGAGCTAAATGTGGTGGTTCACACCTATAATCCCAGTACCTGGAAACCAGGGCAGGAGTGAGTCTGAGGCTGTAGCCCAGCGGTAAAATGTTTGCCTAGTAAACATAGGCCCCATCAGCCCTGCAGAAAGAAAGGGGGTGGCGTTAAAACACATCCCTGACAGTAAAAGCAGAGGAGGTTTGTTTTGTACACTGGGAAGTAATGTACACATTTTTTTCTCAAAGGAAAGTGATAGCCCTCGTGTCATTTCACAGGGGTGGGAACTCCACCTTAGCCTTGAGAGGGAGACAGGACGGAAGGCTTCAACTCAGAAAAGAGTAGAGGTGAAAAGAGAAGATGCAAATAGAGTAGTCTCTAAATCTGTCTATGGGCTGCCTTCCGAGTCACACCTGTTTCTTCACCTCTCCCTGGGGTGCCGCTGCCCCTGGCCTTTCCTGCTGCTCTGGCCCTGTAGATGACAGGCAGTGTTTGGCGGGACTTCTGACATTTGCATGTGTTTGGTTTTCACACCTCAGCTGATGTGGTGGAAAAGCATAGCTGGTTCTGGGAAGCCTCTACAGGTCTGCAGGCTTGGTTTGCCTCCCGCCCAGGAACACAAGGTTTTCTAGCTTCTCATTCATGTTTGTGTCTGCAGGGTGCCACACCAGAAGACTTCAGCAACCTTCCCCCTGAGCAGAGGAGGAAAAAGCTGCAGCAGAAAGTTGATGAGCTCAATAAAGAGATCCAAAAGGAGACGGATCAGAGGTAGGATGGGTCACAGTACCCTGTCAAACAACCCAGGCTCAGTTTGGAAAGAAAAAATCTGAAAATAGAGGTGTGTGTGTGTAGGTGTGTGTGTGTGTGTGTGTGTGTGTGTGTGTGAGAAAATCTGAAAATAGAGGTGTGTGTGTGTAGGGGTGTGTGTGTGTGTGTGTGTGTGTGTGTGTGTGTGTGTGTGCACGCAGTACCCAAAGAGGGCAGAAGAGGGTGTCAGAACTCTTGGAACTGCAGTTATATACTGACTGGTGTTGGGAATCAAACCGGTCCTCATGATAAAGCAGTTCTTATTCTTACATGCTGTGTCATTTCTTCAGCCTCTAAAATGGATAGAGGTGTTATTTTGGCAGGTGGTTTTGTCTTTTTATCTTTGTGTGCCAGGTTTCTCTGTAGAGGTTGTATTTCGAGAGCTTCCCTATTTCTCTTTTGTCCTGAGTAAATGGGTGTGTTTTTGCTTTTCTGCTCCAGTCAATAGTAGGAGATTGTTGGGGTCCCAGGGCCATGGGCTGGATAGGCCACCTCAGATCCATTCAACCTTGAGGTACAGATGTGGTGTGGCTGTACTTCTGGCAGCAGCTGAGGCACGGGGTGCAGGTGTTTGTAGCTCTAGAAGCAGATTGTCATCTTGTCTCTGTTGTATTTCTGAGTAAGCTGGTAAAGGAACAGTTCAATTATGCCAAGATGCAGGTGCAGCACCAGGTACAGGGTGGACTCTTTCTGGATGTTACAGTCACACAATACATGGCCACCTCCAGCTGCTTGCCCTCCAGTGGCAGTATCAGTCCCTGTCGGTCCAGAAGGATGCCTTCCTTGTCTTGAATCTCTGTCCTGACATTCTCAGTCCACCTCAAGGGTGAAGTTCTGCATGTTAGCATCGGTTAGGTCTCCTCAATACGGGCCGAGGCAGGCAGACCTCTGTGAGTTCATGGCAGCCTGGTCTACAGAGTGCCAGGACAGCCAAGGCTACACAGAGAAACCATGTCTCTTTTTTTTTTTTTTTTTTTTTTTTGGTTTTTCGAGACAGGGTTCCTCTGTGTAGCTTTGGAGCCTATCCTGGCACTCGCTCTGGAGACCAGGCTGGCCTCAAACTCACAGAGATCTGCCTGCCTCTGCCTCTCGAGTGCTGGGATTAAAGGCGTGCGCCACCAATGCCCGGCAAGAAACCATGTCGTAAAACAAAAAAACAAACATGGAAATCTTATGTATTAATGTAGTATCCTGAAATTGTGGCATTTGTTTTGAGAGTGTATTAAACAAACAAAAAAAGGCCGGGCGTTGGTGGCACACACCTTTAATCCCAGCACTCGAGAGGCAGAGGCAGGCAGATCTCTGTGAGTTCGAGACCAGCCTGGTCTCCAGAGCGAGTTCCAGGATAGCCTCTAAAACAATACAGAGAAACCCTGTCTCAAAAAAAACAGAAAAAAAAGAAACAAAACAAAAATAAAAACGAAAAAAAACAACCCAAAAACATTAAAGCTGTGGTTGTGGAAAGAAATTCATAGCTCTTGATGCCTACTCCAAAGTTTAAAAGCTAGATGTAATGGGACAAGTCTGTTATCCCATCACTTAGAAGGCTGAGACAGAGGGTCACAAGTTCAAGGCTAGCCTGAGCTAGATTATGAGCCCCTCTCTCAAAACCAATAGAAACAAACATGGCTCAGCTGTTGAGAGCACTTACTGTTCTTGCAGAAGTCTGGGGTTCAGTACCAAGCACACAAGATGGCTCACAACCACCTGTAACTTTAAAAAGTAAGTTAAATCAGCTGGGCATGGTGGTACACACCTTTAATCTCAGCACTCGGAAGGCAAAAGTAGGCGGATCTCTGAGTTTGAGGATAGATAACCTGGTCTACAGAGTGAGTTCCAGGACAGCCAGGGCTACACAGAGAAACCCTGTCTTGAAAAACACAACAAAACAAAAACTAAGTTAAAACAAACAAAAAACAAAAGTCAGTTAACTGAGGCACCTCCTCATGAGGTTAGGGAAGGGACAGCAGGTTAAGGTCACCACAGACAGGAGAGAGAAGTCTTGTGGTAGGAGTCCAAGGCAGGAAGATTGCAGATCAGTGAGGCCAGACTGCGCTATAGAGTGAGACCCTGTCTGGGGGTTGGTGGGGGGCGCTCAGTGGTTAAGAGTGTGTGTTCCTTTTGCAAAGGATCTGATTTCTATCCTCAGCACCACACCAGGTGACTCATAATTCAATAACTCCAGCTCCAAGAGGACCCAGTACCTCTGACCTCAATGGACACTTACACTCGTGTGCACACACACCCTCCTTACATAATTGAAAAATAATAAAAATATTTTTTTAAAAAGAAAAGTCAGGCAGTGGTGGCACATGGCTTTAATCCCAGCACTGGGGAGGCAGAGGCAATTAGATCTCTGAGTGCAAGGCCAGCCTGGTCTACAGAGCAAGTTCCAAAACAGCCAGGGCTACACAGAGAGACCCTGCCTTGAAAACCTAAAAGAGAAAATCATGCTGTTCAACAAAGGACCTACAGACACAAAACTATAGCTCCTTAAGGACTTCAGTAAAATTAGGGCTGGGGGGGTAGATCAGTGGGATCCTGCGCAAGCATGAAGAACCGAGTTCTGATCCCCACTGCCTGCGTAAAAGCCAGGCACAGTGCTATAGGTCTGTCACCCCATCACTGGCCAACTGGTGAGAGACCCTGACTCAGAAACAAGGGGGAGTGGCTGGAACGATGGCTCCACACTTATAAGCCCTAGCTGTGTAATCAGAGAACAAAAGTTCAGATTCCAGCACCCAACAAAACATGTTGTACATCCCACAAATGTCTCTAACCCAAGATCCAACGTGGGCAGTCCACAGGATCTCTGGGACTTGCCTCAAAGGGATAGATGAAGGCACCCAGTGTGACCTGCATGTGCTCCAGCTTGAGTAATTAACCAGAGGAGACCATGAAGAGAAGGGGTGATCTCATTAGGTAGCCCAGGCTAGCCTCCAAATTGAGCTCCTCCTGCCTTGGCCTCCTGATGCTGGGATCGCCGGTGTGTGTCACCAAGCCAACAGGGTAATGGATGTTACTCAGACCTCAGTCTCCATGTTGTTCCTGTTCTTTATCAGGGACGCCATCACCAAAATGAAAGATGTGTACCTCAAGAACCCTCAGATGGGAGACCCGGCCAGCTTGGACCACAAACTTGCTGAAGCCACCCAGAACATAGAGAAACTGCGGCTGGAGACACAGAAGTTTGAGGTGTGGAGAACAGGTGCTAAGGGAGGAGCAGGAAGGGGAAGCCTGCCTCTGGGCAGGCCCCTGGGGACACCCG